ATATATATATATATATATAATGTTCATATCGCGACATACGTTTGCGACCTGATCTAAATTACATAGTTTTATCTAGGTTTTCGAGGAATAGATCTTGAAATTGATTGCAATCTGTTTCAATTTTATGCGTTAATATTGTTTTCATTCTTGAAGTCAATGGCTACTACATATTCCATATAATGAATTATTAAAAAAAAAATTCGGAATGTTACATGCGTGTCCGACCTCGTGCTTTGAGAAGTCGAACGGACACAGGATAAGCTTGAAGAGAAAGGCGAGCAAAAATCGGGGCTCCATGCTGGCTGCCACGGCGAACTGCTAAGCGGCACGCAAGCAGGCAGTCAGACGTTTGTAGCAGACAACATGGCGCCGAGAGCTTCGTCGTCACGCCGGCGTGACGTTTCCCGCGCGCGTCATTAACGGAAGTGAGCCTACAAAATGGCGGAATTTTACGGCACTGAGGTGTGAAAGGGAAGAGAGAAAGGAGCGGAGGGGGAGGGCGTCTGTGCCTGCGGGCAGTTAGGTAGGCGATCGAGGCAGAATGATGAGAGATCCCGTAGAAAGAGAGGAGGTTAGGTTGGTGGCATAGAGAAAGAAGAATGACTGGTAGCCGCCTTCGGCGGTAGACTAGCGCGCTGTACGAATGGGGCAACGATGTGTCGAGGGGGCGACCATTAGATAGAAAGAGGGAAAACGACGTAAGCGATACGTTGAACGCAGATAGCGCTAAACGAAGTGACGAGTGGGGATACATAGAGGAGAGGCCGGGAGTGCGAGGAGAAAGGCTCGAGGGAACGAGAGAGTGAGAGATGGCGATAGAGCGGAGGGGAAAGACCAGTGAGAAGCAGCGGCAGACTCGCCGGTGGGGATGAAAATTAGTTACGGCATCCAAGACCTAAAAGGAACTCCGGCGCCGCACGGTCAGATCGCATCGTGCAATGTTAAGCGTTAAGGTAGTCTCGTGCGTCGTTGACAGTGCCGGTTTCGAAATTTGTAGTAACTATTACCGACATTGTCGTTATACTCGTGGTCGACGTAACAGCCATTGCTACACGTGCGAAAAAGTTATGTGTGTGTAATATTAATAAATAAAACCTTATGACGTGAGTGAGATGCTCAGTGAGGATAACTCAGTGAAAATGATTCAATCGAAGCATCAACAATCAGTGCATCAGCAACACCAACAGCAGAATATGCGAAAATCTGTGGGCGTTATGGGCACCAGACGTATCTTTACAACAGGCTTTAAAATTAAGGTGCTGGATTCCTATAGGCACGACAAAGACTGTCGGCAGAATCAGCGTGCTACTGCGAGAAAATACAATATTCACCGTCGTCAAATACAAAAATGGCTGCAATGTGAGGAGCAGCTCAGAAATAGCGTAGAAAATGGGAATGCTGGGGCCGTTTCGTCGGCAACTGCTTCTCCTCCGGTTACTAAATCGGAAAGTACTGTGACGGAAGCCACAGGGAATACCGTGACTCCAGCAACGCCGGCCTTGAACCTCAACCTCGCCAGACAGCACGGCGACGAGCTGACTACACAGCAAGGGCCCCCACCTTCTCATCCTCCGCATGGCAGTGCACCCTCCTCGCCCCAATATAACATTCAGACTACTACCACCAGCACGGTTTTGCCCTTACATCTAACATCTGTGGGCTATCAAGAATATTCACCAGAACAACGTCTTCGTTTGTTCGAAGAAGACAGAGTTCACATATCGGATGTTCATGGGTACTCAGACACGCAAGTCGATCAGGATCGTAATTATTATGTATTAAATGGAGATGGACAGCGAGATGCGGAAGTATCTTCAACGTTCGGTGGCAGGAACGAGGTGAAGGTATATCAAACTTTGACGAGTTACCATTCACCACATCAGGAGCATCGATACAACATAGACGATATCAGTAATGTGGCGCGTAATCATTCACCGAATCATCATCCGCAGCAACGAGAGCAAAGTTATGGGAATGTCGATTCATTCGACGGGAGATCGTATAGCCTGCTACTAGCGCCGTCGATGATAAAGACAGAGCCAGCGAGTCCAGACATAGCGGCGACGTCAGGCCTGTACGAACCGACGGGCTCTCCCAGCGGCCCACGGGCCCCACTCTCGCCGGAGGTATCGCATCGAGGCGCCGATAGCGGTGGCTCTTCGTCGTCCGTTCACTTCGTTGATTGTTCACGAGCTCCTACGAGCCCGTACTTGCACGTGCACGCGCATGAGCACGCACACACGTGTCCGCTAGATTCCGAGAAGCCGATCCTATCGCTCCTGCATGAGCAAAAGAGAGAGTCGGAGGAGACAACGCAGCATACCGAAGAGAAGAGAGAGGAAGAAGTACAGGAGGAGGCAGAATACTGCAGGACGTTGATCAAAGAAGAAGTAAACTTGGGCGAGGAAGAGGCGTATGACGAGGGGGAAGAAGTAACTGCATCTTCGTGCGTCGACTATCAACGACCACCTGTTGGCGGGTCGTCGCCAGATAGTTTAGGACCGGTAAGCCCTACGATCGCAATATACGATCGCAATGGTTACTCCTTGCCTTCGAGTCCTCGTGATTCTGCTAGCGCTGCAAGATCTAGAAACAGCTGGTCGGATAGCGAGGCGGATCCTCTCTCAATTAACAGCTCGAATTCATGCGGCAGTTTTACTCGCAGACGATCTTTTCCCCTGCGTTTTAAACTTGACGTACTCGATGCTTTCCATCGGGACGAGGAGGTAAAGGAAAATCAACGAGCTACCGCGAGAAAATTTGGTATAAATCGTCGTCAGGTACAAAAATGGCTGGAACAAGAGGCGGATCTCAGGGACGAGATCGCCCTTCGAGGTGATTCGCGTCAACGGTTGGGCCCTATCCAGGATGTCGCTTCTAACAGTGGTCATCAGTATGACTCACCATTGGATCTGACGACGACGAGTTACGCTTCGTTACGAGTTACGAATTGTATTTCGTTGTTGCGTGACCGACTTGAGATGGAATCATATGAACCATTGCCAGCGCAGAACTTGGATCGCGACGTTGGTTTAATTTCTTTTCTACATCCCATAAATTATCAACACTGCACTGTAATAGAACCATCTTCCGAGGCCTGCAGCAATCTATCTTGCTCCGTAGACAGTCATACTACAATGTCGACGACGTCTTCTTATCAAGAGTTGTCTTTAAGAGACTCCTGTTACGCAGAGCCTTCGATTAAAACATATTGTCATGCGTCCAGAGCAAATTCCGTGGTTTCTAATTTTTCTGAAGGATGCGAGCAAAGAGTTTCACCTCTGAAGAGACAGCATTGTACGTTTGCTTCCTGCTACGATTCGATGTCGTCGCCGAAGAGATTCTGCGAAAGGATCTCAGATGTGGACGACACATACGATGTACCTCAAGATACGCCTCTTTGTCTTGTAAAACCGAAATTATCGCGGGAGCTTTCTCGAACGGAACGTTTGACAAAAGCGATCGATCAATCAATCAGTACTGTATCAACTTCGAATAATCCTGATGCCATCACTTTCAAGCCTTACCTAGATAATCCTGTGAGTAAACCTATGAAGAAGTGCGCCGTCCAGCACGACTTATCTCCTATTAGCAATTATAATATCAACAACAATAACAATGATAATAATTGCCAGATAATTTGTAATTTTAACGAGAAAAAAAATCCTAATTACGGTGTCAAGCTTAATCTGCAAGTTCCTTGGACATCTAATTTTTTGGGCCTTAGGCATCGAGTATTGCCGAGTGCCTTTGTTAGCGTGTCCTCACTCCACAGATAACTTCCTGTCGGACCCTCCCCCCCCCACTGTTGATGATCAATTGCTGACAGTGGAAAAAACACTACAGGCTCGTATAATGACCGTCAGTCATATTCATATTTGTCTCATTTCATTCTATATAGATACATTGTTTTAAATAAAAAAAAACACGATAACGATCAGATTGCATTACAGTCAATTAGCTTGGGGGTGTAAAAATCGGGCTTGCAGGTTTCTCGGGTGAGAATGTGCCGGCGAAAGATCGATTGGTGCGTGATCTACTACACGTAGCAGACCACGTAAGCACTTATCATTTCCACGGATCGTCGGTGCCGCGCTATACATCGCGATAAAGTCTTAATCGGCCATTGGACGACCCGAGGCGTAGAAGGAGATTATACATGGTCGTGTCCTCGACTGGCGTCTTCTTCTAACATCACTAGACCTGCTCGACTCTCCCCCCTCCACTATCCTCTCGCTCTTTTCGAAAAATTCTGTAGATATCCTAGCGGATCTTTTTCCACTACGTTATCGTGGAGATTAGAGATCGGTGGTTATCGGCTAGGCCGTTTAGAGGTCGAATTCTATAATTATAGAATTATGTCAGAGAGCGCAGCCGTTGCGTTGCATCGGAAGAAAGTTCGCGGAAAGAAATGGTTGAGTCGATGTGCCAAGAAATGCAATTAATCTATTCTTACAGCATAATGTGTGACAAGTAAAAACAGGCAAGATATTCCGTACGCAAGATTTTTCAGCTTCTTGGCATTTGTCTAAGCAAATTTTCAGTTTTGTTTTTATTTCTATATTGACATTGCGTATTGTGCTGTACAGATGCATTATTGCATCACACAGACAAACGTAACACTTTCAAGTCGTGTTTCTTTCATTTTGCCTGTTTTCTACGGAAAGCTATCCGCCGACGGGCGTTGATCGCACGATTTCTCAGTAGCACTGCCACCCATGGCTTTCCGCGAACTGGCTGGCGCGATCGCATTCGTCACTGGTCGTGAATATGCATTCGATCTGCAGAAACCACTTAATTGCTCAAACAATTTCTTCCACGCGCGCACATATGTCACACGCGTACCACATTATTATACAATAAAACTTTATCATCTCCCTTATCATATGTTTGACAGTCATTAGTCGTTGTCTCTCTCTTGCTTTCGTGTTTTTATTGGTCTCTCTTAAATTGCCTCTCTGTAAATATGTAAATATGTAAATATTTTAAACTGATAAAGAAACTGATAAAAATGTGGACATTATTGAATTCCCGTAGCGTCAAAGACTTCTACGATGCATTCAGTGGAGTAAATGTATTATAATGTTATTATATTAATTATAATATAGTAATACAGTGTTATTAAGCGTTTAGAGTTTAATCGATTCTTCCATTTGGGAGAAATCTATTTTTGTATGATGCCGTCTGAAAAAAATGAAAAAGTAAAAAACTATTTAGAGAGAAGATGTAAATTCGAAACGAAATGAGCCACTTCCGCAACGACCACTTCTCGTGCCTTCTTTTTGTCGGTCAAAGACAAGATGTGAATCATTTTTTATGCATGATGAAGACGTATATATTTATATGCTTGTAATAGTATAGATTAATATATATTATTAATATTTTTAGAAGATAATAGACGGTAGAAAGCGCGAATGGATTGGCTCGTTGTGCACCTCCTCTCTGCGAATTAATTTACCGGGTAACGACGAAGATGTCGTGCGATTAAACAAATATTAATGACAGGAAGTCATTGCGTATTTGTCGAACGCAAAACGAAGGTGATTAATTTGCTAGTTGACGATAAAATCGAGGTGAACAAACGAAAGGGTTTAAAAAAGACACAAGAATGATTCTGAAGAAAATATCACGTGCCTTATATGTAATATATTCATATTTTAATTATAATAATTACGCGTACGAGGCGTTGTGCATCGGAACTCATGCACGATAGGCCATTCAGCATATTATGTATGTCATATATATATTGTCATATATATATATATATATATCATAATGTTGAATATTGTAGATTATCATCTGAAATAGAATTAGTAGCGTAAATCAAGTTAGGATATGTAGCATAAATCAAGTGGTTAGAAGTGATTGTTATAATGATGGCTATTCATATTATCTATGTAAAACTCACGTTCAAATTATAAAAGTTTTCTTTGCGTAAAACACCGACAATTGACATCAAATAATTTAGACAAAAAGAGAGCGACGTATCAAGTTAACTCCGTTAAATATTATATGAACAATAAACAAATAACGAGTACTGTTGTTTGAAATATTAAAGTGTCTGACAATCAATGATGAGATGCCCCTGTTAAAAAAAAAAACTATCTTTTTGAAGAGAGAGAAACTGTTTACGAGTCTTTAAATGAATATAATTATATTTAATTCTTGAACTTTATTTTGTATTCTAAATTACCTTTGTTTAAGGAAAAGATATTTAAACAGTAAAATTTTCTTTATTTTTTTTATATGTTGCACAATTAATTTGTACGAATGAATTTTTTAATATTACATTATATACATTTCTCTTTGTATACCTAATTATCTATAGTTCTCAAAATTTTTTATTTGTAAAGTTATTTCAGATTTCTAATTTTGAGTGTTTTATTTTTTTTTTATTCTTGCGTCGTGGGGGACATCTGAACAGGCGTAACAATTACAGGTAAATGTCTTTCGTATAGTATGAATGGGACTCTCGTTCGCAGTGCACTGAGATCGAGATGCGTTACGATCCTCGAGTAGATAAGTGACTTCTTTCATGTTTGACTTTGCTGGCGAATTATCAGAGGGAAACTTTTGTGAATCATCATTAGTTGATCGTAAGGAAACTTGTTTCAGATTGTATGAGATATCTTTCTCAAACCGGAAAAAAACACGATATCGATCACAGTATAACGTGGATTTTCCTCAATTTCTTCGTATCAGTCGATCAAATTACAAGACAATCACGTTGCACTTACAGTAAATGTTAAAAGCAGAAGAAATTACAATGATGATATTGACTTTATAGAGATTATTAATACTTTAATTATCGAAGCCAAGGAAATTGATACTGAGTGAATTTCTAAACAATCAAGCGGTTGCCAGGCGACGGGCATCAAGAAGGGCAATTTTGTAAATCACTGTTGCAGACAGGGCAGTTACGTTAATGTTTCAATATTCACGCTTAATCGAGCTCATTCATGGTGTGGCATTATCCGACGCGATTGCCCGCACGATCGCTTCGTACCGAGCTCTAATTTATCGCCTCACGAGTAATAAATTCACGACAAGATAATTGTAATAATTACTCCCATGAAGCAATGTATCATATTGTGTGTATCAAAAATATTTATCTCCTTTATTATCTCTGTTTAAAGAGAAAGAAATATAAATTTTGTTTTATCTTTCGTATTTCGCAAAAAGCACAATAAAAATTTTCAACTTGTTAATTTATTATTGTGCGCGAAAGGAATATATCTCTTTCTTATTTTTATAATGTAGAACAATTCGCCAACCAAGTCCGAGGATCGAAAGATTAGAATAAGGGAAATGGGTGTTATGCCTTGCCCGCGATCGCTAATAATGGTCAAGGCGGCAGTGTACAATAAAAAAAATTTAGCGTAATCGTAAGCCATAATAAATTACATAATGCCATAATACATTATACAAATAATAAGGGTATGACTGACGAGAAGAATTTTCGATCGCGCGAAAAAATAAATTGTCATCGGAGATGGCGTCTTGTGTGCGTGCATGCGTGTTCGAATGCGTCTGTATTTGTGTGTTGTAGTATGTATGTCACGTACACACCGCAGCCCACAAGAGTCTGTTAACGAGAGGCATAAAGCGTATACAAGCAATATTTTTTAAGTGCATAAAAGGGGGAGTCTCGTGGGCGAGCCCCCGCGTTTTATAGTCCGTACAACACACAAGTAAATATATTGTATGCATAATGTTCGCATTGTACGTGTATTATACAAAGAAAGTTTATATATATAATATACATATATATATCGTATATCATATATATTATTTATATATATCATATATATAGGGTAATTCAAAAGATTATACTGACAAAAAACTTAAGGAGCGTATAGAGGGGTCAAAATAAAAGAACCTATGTTATCCAAAGTAATCTTGAGTCAGTACACAGGCCTTTAAATATTTGGAACTTAATTGGATAATATATCAATGAAATAATCGCAATTTGTTACTCTTCCACTGGCTTTATTATTATTTTTTTCTTATTAAGGTTTTATTAAGAATCACGTGAGATACCTGGGATATTTGAGAGAGTGTTCTGTTGGACGATGCATTGTTCTATTTTGATCTCTCTATACGCTCTTCAAGTTTGGCCGTAACCTTTTGAATCACCCTGTATATATATCATGTATATGTATGTATATCATATGTTATACGAGAAAAAGATATTCGCGGGAAAAAGCACATAAATTTATCTATCTATATTTAAAAAATATATATATATTATATATCTCAAAAATTATATTTTGATACGATCAACTTACAACGACAAATGCGCCTCTAAATTCATCAGGTGCCTTCGAATTGCTCGTGCCTTACGGTTCTCGCGTGAGGAGGGATCAAGAACCAAAAGCGTCGCCGCCAAGTATCACTCGGCGATAAGCGTACATATTTATTGTATTGTATTTGTACGGAATTTCGTGCGGAAACAATGTACCCCAGTGTCCTCCTCACGCGCATTATCAGTATTTAAACTATTCTTTATTTATTGCTCTATTGTATCGCGACAACGTGAAGATTTACCGATCCCGTAACCAGGACTTGGTAGACTTGGCGTGATTTTGCGTGCTCCGTCATTTCTATGCCTTCCCGATCGCATACTTCGTAAAAACGCGTTGAGTTTCTCTTGTCCACACTCTTTGCGCGCAATCGATGTAATTTCGCACGGCCGAAGACTCCACGATTATCCGGCGCTGCGTATCGCTTATCGACGTATTATCGTTCGTTTATTGCGTGTAGCACGTACGTGGTCAATGTCGAGAGAAAGAGAGAAAAGAAAGAAAGAAAGAAAACACGCGGTTCCTTCGACGTGCGGCAGCTCAAAAAAAACGCGAAGTCATAGAATCGAACGGTTTATCGGCATTTTCACGTTGCAAACGTTCACGATAATAATATTGTTAAT